CTTTATGCATTGCTGTTTATTATACTGGACAATAAATGTCATATTAAGATGACCTAGAATTGTTGTTATAGCAACAGGCGCAAATTTGACGTTTTTATTCTTGCCATTTCTAGCCTTCACGCATCCTTTTAAGCATGGTGTATACCTATACTATTCCAAGAGGACCCATTGCTGCTATGTATAGCAGTCCCGGTCCATGCTATCCTTTACCTGGTTTAGTTGGATATAGTTTTCATGACCCACGTTCGGTGCATAACAAAGGTCCGCAGTGGTCTTTTGGAATAAAACATGGAAAATTTCGAGACGAGTGCAGTCCTGGGCCTTGCTATCTCCCATCAACAAAAATATATCGAAATGGAAGGGATGGAACACCTCATTATTCTCTATATAGTCGGCCAAGAGACAACACATTATTTGCTGTACCCGGTCCTGGTGCCTATGCTCCAGAAAAAACTGTTAATTTTGCCTATACCAGAGCACCTGCCTATGTTTTTGGGTTGCGGCATAGACAAAGGAGTTTTGATGACAATCCTGGTATGAGAATATTTGTATTTATTTATAAGGTCCAAACAAGTATTGCTTGGATCCAATGTTGTGTAAAACAATACGGAGTACTAAACCAGCTGCTCCATGTTTCTCTTTAACTGGAAAGAGTAAAATAGGTGGCTTTCATGAAGATCTCCAGAAAGTAAATAATATTTATTCTATATAATTTAAATAGACTCCAGGTCCTGGAACATATACAGTTATTGGTCCAGATGTGATTAAGGATAAAAATCCTCAATATAGTATGACTAGTAGGCATGAAATGCCAGGTGATACAACTAGGAAACCTGGCCCTGGGGCGTACTCTCCTGAACAGGTATCGTTTTGCATTATTGTGTCTATTCAAATGTGTTGTCTGCTATTTAAGAAGCCTTCAATACATATATTACTAATTATCTAAGGTTAAAAACTAAATTGCATTTTTTTGATATTGTTTAATTTAAATCTATGCCGCTTAAATACCTCAC